TCCCCGGTGACTGTCGGCATGCCGCTCTGTGCACACATGCTGCAGAAAGGAACACAAACAAAACACCACAACCTCTGCCACAGCAACTAGCGTTCAGAATCAACTGTTTAAAAAAAAAAGGCAACCCAAACCAGGCATCATCACCCCCAAAAAGACGTCAGGAAAGCCTGATGCAACGTCCTTCCCCGCCCCCAGCAGCTTCCTGGGGAGGGAGATGGGATGGATGGGATGGGAAGCAGGAGATGCAGACAGGACAGAAGGGGCAGAACACCGTTACCTGGGCACCGGCGGGGATGGGGAACAGGCACCGCTCCCTGGGCGTTCTCTCGCAGCGCTGCTCTGTTAGCAGTGAGCTGAGGTGATAATCCTGCTCGCTGGGGCGGTAGCACCTCTGTGCCAGTGCTGGCTCCTCCTCCAGCCTGCTGCTGCCACCCTCCGTCCTCCAAAGCCACGGCTTCACTACACCGGCAGCAAAAACCTCAGTCTGGAGCTGGGGAAGACCGAAGGAGCTTCCCGGATGCCTTCCTGGCTCCTGGCGCAGTGAAGAAGTCCCTGCCAGGCAGGCGGCAGGACGGCGGGGGGCTCGGGGGGGGACTACAGCTGAGCTGTCAAAGAGGTGTTGGTCCGGCCCTGAGCCCACGGCATCCAGGAGGACGAGGGATGAGAAGGATGTAGATTTTTGTGTCTCTCATAGCCTCCGCTCCCCATGTCGTTTCATCGTAACCTGTGCACATTAAAAAGGTTGCTCGCTGCGCTTCTGTTCCCGTGGCTGTGGGACGTGGGAAAGATACACCCCGTCCGTCCATCCTCTTCGTCAGACTGCAGCACTGCAGGTGGAGGTTAGGTGCAAAGAAAGGGTAAGGATCTCTATAGATGATTCTCCTCTGGGTGCATGCAGAATTGCACTGGGGCAGGGAGGAGCAGAAAAAAAAAAATGTGCATAGTTATGGTGTTCCCATCAAACCGTTTCCATTTCTTAAAGAAGAATCAAGTGCGTCCAGCTCATCTGTAAGTGCACATGAGCGAATGAGACAGACCTTCTCTCAACCTCATCTTGCAAGCTATGCTGGGTGGATGTGAAAGCAGATTCAAATGCAACACGTGGCTGCTTTGCTCCTAGTAGCATTACACAGAATTAAGCTGACTACAAATCAGAGAGAAAAAAGCACTGTTTTTGATCAGATTAAAATTTCCAGGACTCTGAATCAGGGAAGTCTCTTCCCTCTACCCCACAAAAGAAAAGTTTGACCTAAAATCTGAAAAAAAAAAAAAAAAAGAGCTCCTCAGTATCGCTGGGGTGGAAGGAAAACAAGCAGAATTACCCAGTTCAATTAAAAACAGACCAGGGAATTACGAAGTCACAAGAGTATTAAGAAGTATTCTCCTATAATAATTCCAGCAAGTCTGATGGAAAATCCCTAGACATTAGAACACATTTCAGAGTTGTAGCTGTTAACACATCCATGAAAAGCATTGCTAATAAGGCAAGAGAGAACAATCTCTGTTGAATTTTTTTTTTTCCAGTCCACTAGCTTCTTGGACTGCCATTGAAAAATGCATATCTCTATGCTTACAGTGCAGTGTAAAAAGCAGGTGGTATCTCCTTTTCTTGCAGGAGTGCTTTGACAAAAAAAAGACATTTCTGAGTAGCATCTGTATACGACAATCATCAGTGAGCTTAGAAATGTTAACTAATAGAGTTTAAAATGCAATAAATATAATGAATTTTTTCTCAGATTCTTAATTGTGTTTTCAGAGTACACAGTGCAAGTTTCCCCTGTTACTGCAGTGCTGAGATTCTCTTTTCAAGTTAAGCCTTCTACACCTACTACAGAGGAAGGATTTTGGCCTTCATAATAAACTCAGAAAGCATTGAAACAGAATCTTGTCAGCCTGAACTTTTAACATTTGCGTTTACGTCAGTGAACATTGGTGGAGCCATTTTGAATAGCTTTGTATTTGTGCTTCAGCTTGATCCTGCTTGGCTGCCAGGGTCATTTTATTGAAATACTAGATACTCAAAACACCGTAAACAAACTACATAAGATCAGGAGGCTCCAACCATCATTAAAGGTAAAAGTTAAACCCATAGTGAGTCTGAGGAAGCCAACATCCATGATACTTTCTCATTTTAAAATTGTAAGTAAATGCAACTTTTACAAATAAGAAGCCTGATTTTAACTAGACATGTTCCATTATCTTGGAAATAATTTATATTAATGCTTCAGCCAATATTGAGAAGCTTAAGCAATAATTTTTTAAAACATGACAGTTGTTACAGAAGCACAAACAAAATATTGTAAATTTTTCCCCTGTGATTTCTGATTACTGATCAATCATACTCAGTAGCATTTATTCTTTAATTCCCCCCCTACATATATCTGTATTTAATATATATGAATATTTATGAAATTGCATACAGCTTCATTCACAAATTAGATAAATGGAGCTGTGTGCAATTTTTTTAAGGTTACCATCTTTATAGGCAGTCAGCCCATGTCATTCATGTCAAATGTAACAGTATGTTAGAAAAACATAGTTTTGGAATTCCGGTTATTCACTACCTTGTATCTCTGGGTCAGGATCTGTGGTTTTTTACAGAGTATGAGACTTTACTATAATAGGTTTCTGATTCATAAGTTAAAGCTACCATGTGCTATCACAATAACAACATCAACCCAAACTCTTGTAGAAACAGTCCTTTTCAGAGAAACT